TACCATTACTCTCCCTTTACAAAGAGGCTAAAGTACAGCAAAGATAAGTAACTTGCCCAAATTCAAGCATGGAATTACTGATGGAGCTGGGAGATGAATCACAGTCATCTATTTCTAGAGCTCATTCTCTTCAATAATGCACTGTTTCCCCTGGTAAATGGTATGTTCAAGATAAACTACACAAAAATCAAGAACTATTCTGTATACCACAAATGACAAGTTGAAGAGTACACAGAAAGAGCTGATAAAGAATAGCACCATTTAATGACTGCAACTATTTGTCTATGTATCTCCTTCCACTTCTCTGGGAATCTCCTGTGGGAGTAGCCCTTGATATTCTCAACAATGTGGTTCACATCTAGTTCAGAATCTCTGGTGCATAGTAGACAAATGGTAATGAAAACTCAGTGAATTTGGGAAACACACCTGTAATTAGCAGAAGAATCATAAATTGAAATTTCAAAAACTTGGTACTTCTGGAAATGAGACCTTAAATCAGCCTAAAATAAGAAAAATAAAAGTTGTTGAAAGGTAGAGAAACAAAATAATCATAATATGAGTAACTGATAAACTTAAAAATGAAGCCTCAAAGAGAAATCCTGGCATACCTCAGACACCGAAGGGCAGAGACCACCAACATGTATCAGAAAACATTTATCTCTTCTTAAGGGTTCAACATTCTTCATTTCTGCTTATATAAAGACATAATATGCAACAGAAATGACACTGACATTTTAAAATATTTCATGTTCCCCTCCCCAATCACAAAGCTTATTTTAAATTTAGGAGCAAATATCAGCACTAGCTTGAAGACAAGAGCCTTATGAAGTATAACTTTTAAGATTTCTGGGCCTTAATCACATCGTCTTAGAGATTGGATTAACTGATTACGTCCTCTGGAACTCAAAAATGTATCAATTACATCACAACTAAGAAAAATGTCATTTATTTCTTGATTCATAAGTTACTTCTAGAATATTCCTTTGCTGGAGGGACAGCACACCAAAAATACTTTATATATCAGGTAAGTATCAACAGCAGATACTTGTGATAATGGTAAGGGCCCACAAGAAAAGAAAGAAATAACTTGAGCTACATAGCATGATTGTGGAAATAACAAAACTAGGGTTAAATTTCAGATGTTTTCTTATTTGAGAAAAATACTCCAAATTCTTAGACTATGGTCTTTTGTTAAGAGAATCTGGTTTGAAATAAAAAAGGCCTCCATGAATTCAGATTCAAGTGACTATCAACTCCCAAACCTGGTACACATCATTTCACGTAATTCTCACAATTACCTTGTGAGGTAGCTATTGCTATATTAATTTTACAGATGAGGATACTGAGGTCTCAAGAGTACTGATCACATATCTAATAAGTTGTGGTGTTGAATTCAGGCATAGTTCCTCATCTCTGGGTAATAACCTTTTCTTTAACTTACTTCTTTTATTAATCTGAGTATATAACAATGTATTCTAAAGAAAAACAGTGATAACATTTATTTTTATAATTTAGATTTTTGCAGTGGAGAAAAGTAAAAAGCTATGGCATAATAAAGAAAGTCTGAGCATGAGACTCAGAAGATGTACATTCTACCTACCACCTCACTTTCCACTAGTCCAATAAAAATATTTACTGAAGTTCCTGTGGGTTGAACACTGAATTTTACACCGGAGATAGGCAGTAAGCTAAACAAAAATTCCTGGTATTAGTGAGCTAATATATGAATACAGAAAGGCAGTTAATATGCCAAAGAACCAAAACATGCAGTATATGATAAATGATAATAGAGAAAAATAATGCAAAGACAAAAAATGGTTACAGTAAAACTGAATAATATGATGCCCTTTATTTTAAGTTGTAGGTGTGTTAAATATATGTACAATAAGCACATTAAAAAATGGTCACTAAAATATTCAGAGTGGTTATTACAGATTTGAGAAATTCAAGTGAAAGTAATTAATTTGGTACTGGGGATTGAATCCAGAGGTATTCTACCACCAAGACTCTTTTTGAGATAGGTTCTCCCTAAGTTGTCAAAGCCAGCCTTGAACTTGAGATCCTATTGCCTTAGCCTCTCAACTGCTGGGATGAGAAGTGTGTGTACCACCATACCTGGTGAATTTTCTTATACTTTCATATTTTATTAAAAATCTTAGAGCTGGACTGTAGCTCAGTGGTGGAGTGCTTGCCTCCCAGGTGAGAGGCCCTGGGTTCGATACTCAGCACCACATAAAAATAAAGATTTTTGTGTCCATCTACAACTAAAAAAAGAATATTAAAAAAAATCTTAAGCATTATTTCTAAAAGTAGGGAAAAAACAATAAAACCATACTGTTATAGAAAAAAAAAACACCACAGAAGTAGATAGGAAAAATAAAGGAAGGTCATAAACATCATCAGAATGACAGAAGGCAATAATCATGGATACTAAAGAAAAGCCAATTATAAGCAATTAAGGACTATATAAAGATGAAAACATTCCTTAAGTAGTTATTATTAAAGTAAGGAAAAGCAATGGTGTTCATCTCTAATTTGATAGACTGGTACTGGTTGACTGATGGAAACTGGGAAGCTGGTTTGATTCACCAGGTATCCTCCCCTGGAAGATACCTGCCAAAGGTTCAGAAGAAAAGGATGCCCTGAAGGAGTACTGAAGGGTGGCCTTCAGTAGGAGGGAGTGAATGGCATACTTCTACCTGCTAACTAAATTCTTGATTTAAACTTTAAGTAGTTCTCTGAAAAAGGAGTGCCCTTTTTTGTTTGGTACTGCGACTGAACCCTTGGGGGCTTCACCACTGAGCCACATTCCAAGCCCTTTCAAAAAAAATAGTTTTAGTTGTAGACAAACACAATACCTGTATTTTATTTATTTTTATGTGGTGCTGAGGATTAAACGCAGTGCCTCACACATGCTAGGCAAGCGCTCTACCACTGACCTACAGCCCCAGCCCTCCTAGCTCTTTTTATTTTGAGATAGAGTCTTGTGAAGTTGCTTAGGGCTTTACTAAGTTGCTGAGTCTGGCCTTGAAACAGATAACTCCTGCCTTACCTCCAGAATTGCAGGGATATAGGTGTAAACCATCATGCCTGGCAGAAAGGAACATTTAATACTGATTTAATCTTTTGAAAAAATGATCTTCAACTGGCTACTTTTCTTTTATATAAGAAAAGCCACCAAATGAAACAAAATATTATTTCAGTCTCCCAATAAAACAAAATAGGTAAGCACTATTTTCAAACAAACTAGTTTAGAATTTCTCAGTCAACTATTAAGAACAAACCTTGTGTAAACTTTGGATTCCATTTATCGTGTTCAATTTGGTTTTCTTGTATTCCTGAGAAGTCAGCTCCTGTCAGGTTCTCTTTAGCATCAAACCAGTCTTCACTGATTTCACGGTAATTTCTGTACTCTTAAGATATTAAATATAATGAACTATGAATTATGAATAATGTTTAACCCTATGAAAAGTTATCTAAAAATATAAATCAGAATGTTGATGACAACCAGTTTTATGTATAAATACTATGGTTAAAATTAGTAAAATAAGAGCACAAATATTCTGAGAAAGGCTTTCAGCAGTCCTGAATAACATTCTTCTTAATCTGATTTGCTTCCTAAATTTTCTTTAACACTGATTCATAGCTTATTAAAAGCCTTACTTTTTTGAGTTGTCTTTTACTGAAGAAAAGATGATCTTATATAATAGAATGAAAGTAACATCGGGCTGGGGTTGTGGGTCAGTGGTAGAGAGCTCACCTAGCACGTGTGAGGCCCTGGGTTCGATCCTCAGCACCACATACAATAAATAAAAGTATTGTGTCCAACTACAACTAAAAAATAAATATTAAAAAAGAAACATTTCTAAAGGAAGTAAGCAATGCTGCAGCTCTTTATTTCATTAAAATTAATGATCTTTTTGGAAGATCAAAATCTTTTAGAGGAAAAAAGTAATGAATAGTAAGAATATTTTAAAAATTATTGTTTTCTGGCAACAATACATTATTATACTGACCTTTATCATCAAGTTTCAGTTGACTAAAGTCTACATTTATATCACCATTTTTAAAACTGTCTTTCTCAGGTGTTGGATCTTGTGTAGGATGACTACTGTCAGATAATAAAGACATCTGAGGATTAAGATAATAAAAATAATATAGATTAACAATTATTATTCTCTTAGTATACGATAGGCACTCTGCATCAGCATTATTTATCCCTCCCAATAATGAAGGTTACAAGAGAAAAAAATCATTAACAATTTGACTTACAGAAGAGAAAACTGAATCTAAGTTGTTGGTTTATGTCAGACATTTAACAAGAATTAGTATTTGAAGCCAGTCTATGTACAGTGACTATGTGCCAATAGGGCAATGATGGAATACACACACAAGAAGCATTTGACATGATTTTTGAAAAAAAACATATAAATATTTATTATGTTAACTTTATATATTTAATTTAGAGTATGTGCTTATGCATACCTTCCATTTATAAGAAGTAAAATTTCTTTCCCATTATGTTATAGTGAAATTGTTTTTATACTTACTTAAAGAGAGAGTAATAGGTAAAATATGGCTATGGTAAATTGTGAAAATGGTACATTAACAGTTAAAATTTGGAAACAATACACTACACCGGCTTTCACAAATAACTAGTTAAAATGGAATTCCAACTTAAAAGACATATTGCTTTAAAATCAAAACCAGCATTATAAAAATAATGTTACATTTTTTTTGCATATTGTACTTTTTTTTTTGTGCCGTGCTAGGGACTGCTGAATCCTAAAGGGATCATGTTTTTCCTGAGACAGTCTAGGTTTGTATCTATCATCAAACTCAGTTGTTAACATTATTTTCTTTTAACCCCAAAGGTTCCAGGTTTGAAGCCAGGTATAGTGGCAGATGCCTGAAATTCAAGCTACTCAGGACGCAGTTAGATAAAAGTTCAAGACCAGCTCAGGCAATTATACTGTCTCAAAATAAAACAGAAAGGGCTAGGCATGTAGCTCAATGGTAGAGCACTTGTCTAGCAATTACGAGGCCCTGGGTTCAATCCCCAGTATTGCCTTAAAAAATAAAACCCCAGGTTTGGTAATCACATGGCCACTCTACTCATCATGCTGACATCTTGATAAGGACTGGACCTAAATACAACATTATTTTCCTTCCAATTGGTTATATGACTCAAATGGTAATACACAAAGTAAGCCAGTTGAATAAAAAGTAGAATGTGAGGGTTTCTGAAAGTTACAATTTACTTAGGACATAAAATTAAAATATTTATCTTGATGAACTTTAAATAAAATTATCTCACTTGAGAGAGTGTCTTTTTTAAGGCTGGAAAAACATCAACATCAGGTGCACTTTGATTATCTAGTTCCGAATCTGCTCCTAAAAAGCTAAACAGATAGGCATCATTAAAGGATTTATCCATGTTCCAAATGGGGACAAAAACAGAGAAGCCCAAGTTAACTGAATTAAGCAGTTGTAAGATCAAAGAAATTCTAAATTAGATGAATTATAACTTACTCATGTGATTCTTCTTTTACCAACTGGAAACAGGAAAAAGGAGAGAAAAAAATCTTTGTTTAAATGTATTCCGTCTAAATAAAGTATAATTTTTATTCTTAAAACATATATACATACCCTGGAAGCAAAAGTAGAGAAGGCAGACAATAATTTTGATTCTACTGACAGTGGGGGCAGCTCTTCCAGTAGTATGCCCTTGTGTATTTTTTCTTTCAAATTCATATATCTAACTTTTAAGTCTCCCAAAACAGATAGTAGTGCCGACCCTAATTCTTTCTTAGCAGAATTACTTGGCAAATTCCTGTTGAAAGGTAAGTTCACAAAAATAAATTGTTTAGGCCCAAATCATCCATTTAACACTAATATTATTCACTTAGTTCTAAGTCTACTAGATTTTAAAGTTTTAACTGTTGAGTAAAAAAAAAATGAACCACAATAGATGTGTTTTTTCTACCAGGGATTAAACCCAGGGGCACTTAACCATGGAGCCACATCCTTAACCCTTTTATTTTTTGAAAACAGGATGTTGTTAAGTTTCTTAGAGCCTTGCTAAGTTGAAGAGGCTGGCTCTGAACTTGTGATCCTCCTGCCTCAGCCTCCTGAGCTGCTGGGATTACAGGAGTGTACTACCATGCCTGGCTAGACTAGATGTGCTTTTTTCCCCCCTAGGATCAGTACAAGCAACCCTTCCCTTAATAATCTAGAGAATGTGGTAGAATGTCACACAAAACCCTCTCAATGACTGCATCCTTACTTGGAGTTCATAAAGAAAAACTGAACCTATTTTTTCCCTGGATTCAGCACTCCAACAATGCACTTGTTACCCCTCCATAAAACTCGTAAGTATTATTTTTAAATTCTTATTACTCTAAGACAGCTAATAAACCCAGTTACAATCTACCTCTTATTTTGCCCTTCAAAAATGAAAAATAAATTTTCTAAAATAAATTTAAAGCTAGTGATAAATTTCTAAGAAAATACAGACTTAAAATTAATAAACACCTATTTAATCCTTCTCTATTTTCCATTATAAATTTGTAAATATCACAACAATGTTGATGACACATCTGATAGTGAACATTTAAAAGGTGCATCTCTGCTTTTATGGCTCTCTGCATTATATTCTGACAGCACTTTGATGGCAAATTCTTCTCCATCTCTTTAGAAAGTTGAAATTCCCTTTAAAATAAAAGACAGAATCAGATAAGATTCCATTTCTCTACAGTAATTATATGCCTCTAAAAAAAGATTTAAAATTTCTTACATTTCCTTGTCAAGTTTTAGATAATTCCTACTAAAGACAGAGAGGCTACAGGGACAAAAACAAGGACATCAAGAGTCAAAGCTAATCATATTCTAAGAGTCAAGGAAGTAAACAATTTGCAAATTTTTACTTTCTTTTACTAAAAAAAGATTCCAACCTAAGACCAGGACTTCACTTATCCAGAATCAATGGATTGCCTCTCCCCTCCCCCAGCTTAAATCAAATTTTGGCCAAGATTTTTTAAAAGTTAATGAGCATTCTGGGTTGAAATTGTTCTTAAATATATTACTTTAATAGAAAATAAACACAATGTATATTTTTCTTAGCAATTAAGGATCCTTAATATAAGCAAATTGTCTACTGTGATATCAAACCAAAAAGTTCCAAGTAACTAAACTACACTTTTCTTCAATGCTGATAGTTTTCAGACATTTTGTTACTAGTTGCCACTTCCAGCTGTCCTCGAAGCCAATTCTTGTATTTACTTTAGTTGAGATACCAAATTCAACTCATTAGAAGAATGAAAAATTAAATGACTTCAGAGCATAGTAATTAACTTGGCCTTTCTCTCTTTCCCGTCCCACTTCCTGGTTCTCCACTGTGTTAAGTAGTAAGTGCGAAGTAATTATATGATGAATTAAGATTAAAATACTCTAGTGAGTGTAGCTATTAACTCCTTTAAATTTATGACATTTGATTCAAAAGGTGCTATTTTGTTTTGGTTTATAGGGGAATAACAAGAAAAACCAGAAAATTAAATCAATGTGGATTTAGTTTAAATAAGGAAACATAAATATGAGTTTTGGAAGGAACTATCAAGACTAAATTCTCATTAAGTAAAGAGTTTTAATATCTCATACTGTTTCAATATTATTCATTAGCAAACAAATGGCTAAGGTAGGTAATTTATTAAAAGTTCCTTTTAGATATAATTCTAGATTGCTAAGTATGATACACAGAAAGCAAATACTATTTTAGACTTTTTTCATGTTTAAGACTACAAGTTATACATCTGACCTACCTCTCAGGATGTTTCTTTAAGTCTATGATATCCAATGTTTTTCTTACTTCCATGGAATCCTAAAAACATAATTTAAAATTAAATTATAAAGATATGACAAACAAATCATGTTATATCTGGAGTTTCAAACTGATAAAATGTAAACTAAACTTCAAAAGGTCTTTGTGGCAATAGCTACCCCCAAATAACAAGGCTGGAGGCAATTTACCTACTCATTCCCTTCACATTTTTTCACAAAGGCCTCAATATGACATTTATATTAGCATGTGCTTTATAAGGTAAAATTTATAAAGTAAAATAAAATTTTATTATCATACTGATTTTACCTTATTTAGGAAATTTCCATCTGGCTTTAAACCATCAACTGAGAGAGATCTTCCTGATCCTTTTGTCAAAACCACCTGTGTGTCTACACAATCTTGACTGCATGACCAGTCTGTATTACAAGCCACACTTGTTTGTTTTCCACTCTGCCATCTGCCAGGCCTTTGTTTATTCATCATTGTTATCTCTGTGTTGCTTGATGTAGATACTACAGGAGATCTTGCACTTGTTGCCCTGCTGGTTGTGAAACAAGCCCTAAAATCAGTGCTGACATCCACTGTCTGATTAACTGTGACTGTACAACTTGCTGCATCTGACACTGATTTAGGACATGTTCCTTTCCTATCAGGAGAGCATATTTTATTTGTAGTACTGTTGCTAACAACTTTTAGGGAACTATCCTTTTCCACTGCCTGATTATCTTTGACTGCAATTCTTGGTAGTGTAACAGAGAAACCCAAGGCTGGGTCAGGGTTGCAAAGGCTTTTATAATGTGAATACCCACAGGCAGAAATGACTGAGTCATCAAAAACAGAGGCCCAGGAAGTCTGGCAACCTTTACAGGATTGGAGTAAAGACTCCAAAGCTTTGTTCTGAGGTAACTTGGTAGGATTTTCAAGATGCTGTGATACTTTGTTTTCAACAATTGTATTTCCACAAAGATCTTTACTTTCAGGTATTTGAGATTTCATTTTCTCAGTATAAATCTTAGTTTTGAGTGTTTTTTGAGGATTCAAGAAACCACTCTTAGGTTGAGATTCTTGGTTTCCAAGAGAATTGTTTCTTTGTATCAGATGATCAAATACCGTGTGGTACATTAAACTAGTCTCTTGTTCCTTCCACTTTTCATGCTTTGATTCATGATTTTCTTTTATCATGACAGAATTCTGAAATTTAGAGACATGAGGCGAATATTCTTGTGCAAAAACATTAAGTGAATCCAAAGAAATAATAGAACTACTTTCCAACTTAACATGATTATCTTCTAAATTGCTAACACATTTAACTTCATAACCTGAATTTCTTAATTCAACAACTTCCAGATTAGATATACTTAATGTTTTGGCTTCATCAAAAGATAAATGGTTACTTATATATTCTTGTTCTTCTGCACTGTGATATTCCTGCTGTGAGTCTTCATCTATATCATACTTTTGCATATCTTCAGCAGTTTCTTTATAGTCATCATCTGAAATCTTGGAGATTTTTTCCAAGCCAACAGTCTTCTTACCTTGATGCTCCAAAATATCAAAAAATATCTCTTCTCTTTTTTGCTTTTCAGGATCTAATTCTGAATTTAAAAGAGCAAGATTTTCATTTAGCTTTGACTCTGAATAATGTATAGAGTATGTCTCATTCAAAAAAGCATAGTCAATACTGTCTTCAAACTCACTTGACTGGGAGTGAGTACTCCCTACATTGGTATCTTGACTTGCTGAAAAATATGACTCCAATAAATCTGTTTTTTCAATACTGTTGATTTCTTTGATAGCTCCTTGCTTTAGCGTATTCCATTCATCATCAGGAAGAATAGATTTGACTTTATTACAACCGTTGGAAGAAAATAATAAATTTTCTTTCTTAGAAGATATACCTGTCAAAAAAAGAACAAAATGTAAACATTTTGAATTCAACATTACTGAATCTAAACACTAGAAAAAACCTTAGACATGATTTGGTCCAAGCTCTTCCCAAAGTAGGAATGTTTTATATTATCCATGACAAATAACCTTGTGGTAGTTGATACAAACTGAACTCCAATCCCCAATGTGGTGGTATTTTGAAGATGAGACCTTTGGAGGTAACCAGATTTAATCAGTACCCTCATGATAGGATTAATGCCCCTTTAAGAGACAGAGAGTTTACTTCCTCTTTCTTTCATGTGAGAACACACATCATGTGAGGACACCATAACAGTATTGTCTTCAAG